CCCATCCGCCCAACCCCCAAACTCCATAGGACTTGCCAATTGGCCTGCTATGCTCTACCACCAGGGGGCAGCACCAACCCGAGAGACCCCCCTCCCCCAACCCGAAAGACCCCAGCGTCCTGGGACCCGCCCGCCTGCCTGGCTGCCTGCTGGGCTCTGACCTTGGTGAAGTGGAACTGCAGGGGATCATCAGTGGACAGGGAGACCATGAGGCCGCGGGACAGGTACTCCGGTAGCGGATTCCGGTGGTAGCTGAGGAAGAGGCTGTTGTTGCTGAGCGGGGACATGGCGATGCCAATCTGGGCCAGGTAGTACAGGTACTGCAGGACGGGGGCCTGGGCAGGCAACAGGGAGGGAGGGCCTGTCAGGTGGCCTCGAGGCTGGGCAGGGCACAGTGGTTCTGGGGGTCCAGGTCACAGAAGAGGGAAGGGGGAGGAGAATCCAGGCTGGGCCTGATGTGCAAAGGGTGAATTAGTCAAAATCCAAGTTGGGGCCCCAGGCTGGAGGCTGGCAGGGGAAGGGTAGTTACATTGGGAAGGCAGAATCCAATCTGAGGGCTGGGTGGGAGGAGGATTGGTTACTGAAGGGGCTCGAATGGTTCAGAGGAAGGTGAACAATTGGGAGGGAAGGCTGGGCGTGCAGATCCTGACCTTGCGCAGAAGCAGCCCATGGGAAATGTTCTCAGCCAGCATGAAGGCTGACACCAGGTGGTGGATGGGTCCAGCCTCCCCACAGTGTGGCCTCAGCACAAACGTGTGGAAGCCCCTCTGCCTGGGGGACATGAAGACAGTGTCAGCTCCTGAGCCTGGGATCACCTGGGCTCACTGGAGCCCCCTGACCTCCCAACCCAGCCTGCATATGTCCTCCAGCCGATAACTATGCAGGCCTGGGATAAGGGGGACAGGGGTAGGTTACTGGCTGTGAGGGGTGAGAGATGTAGCTCCAAGGGCAGAGAAAGAACCCATCTAGTCCAGGCAACAGGTGGGTCAGAGGTCTGGTAGCCCCAGCCCAAGGTGCCAAGAGTGAAGTTTGTTGGGCAAGAGACGGCACAGCAAACAGACACAGGGTGGTGCAGGCACCTGCGCAGGTGGTTCAACATGGCCATGTTGGCAAAGGTGTAGTACAGGTAGTAGGCATAGGGTGGGTTGTCCTCCTCCACCCACGCCTCAGGCAGGGGGCTCTCCAGGTTGAAGACATGGTTCTCAGGCTTGGACTCGTCATCCACACTGTCAAAACCATCCACCTAATACAGAACCCTGGGGTCAGACCCAGAGCTGCAGCTGGACGTGAAGCTGGCTGTGCTCCCCATACCCAGCCCTGTGCTGCCTGCTCACATGCTCCAAGAACAGATGCAGCTCCGGGTGGCTGGCAGGGTGCACAGTGGCCTCAAACAGTGGCAGGAAGATGTTCTCCAGCATCTCCTGGAAGTTGGCCAGCTGGCCCTTGGTACGGTACACATCACTGCAGGCGAGACATAACATGCAGGTATGTGCAAGTCAGGGCCAATGGGAGGAAACCCAGCGGGCCAGTAAGGGTCAGAGCTCGGCCCAAGAGCATAGGGGCACATCTGAACCACACTGGGAAAGCAAGGATACCCAGGTGGGCCAGGCTGGACAGACCATGGGTGGGACCAGGAAGCCCTTCTTTGCACTCAGAGGGGTTGGCAGGGACAAGGGAGGCTCAGCCATCTTAGGAGGGCAGGAGGCAGGCCCTGACCCCTTGAACATGACCCCACAGGTTCCCCTCCCACTCCAAGGGACACTCACAAGAGGCGGGGCACCTGCACCAGCCAGCGCACGTTGGGGGAGTGCACACGGTGCATGACAGCCCAGCGCGCCAGCTTGTCCCACTCATCCCTCGAGCGCCCGTAAATGGACAGCCGCAGCTCTGCATTCTGGTATTTGCTCTCCTCCAGGTCTGACATCACCTCCTAGACATGAGGTGAGCTGAATCAGAGCTCTTCAGGGGGTCATCTGCCCACCTTCCTTGAGTCTCACCCCCTAAAAGCCCCCAGATCCTCAGGCTCGAGGCTTGCCAGGGAAGGCGGCCTCCTTACCTTAATGATGTGAGCAAAGTACTTCCCAGATACCCTGTTGTCCGTCTTGATAAAGATCTCTCGGAGGACGGACTCCCCAATAGGGTTGTATTTGGCATTAAACTTGTCAAAGCGATGGAAAGTGTTCCTGTCCTGGGGGACGTGGGAAGGCTCAGGTCACCCCTGACTCCTGGTCCCCTGAGTGACTCAGTCCCACAGCCCACACCACTGGCACAGACCGCATGCACATCCAGCGTGTCCACACTCAGGTCATAGGCTGTGAGATTCATGCTCTCAAAGACCTCCCGCAGCGTCTGTTCACGGCCCTGCTCCACGTGCACGATCTCCTCCAGGTGCCGCTTCATCGCCCGCTTGATGAAGCGCAGCAGATGCTTCTGGTTCATGCAGGACGAGGCATGGATGTGGGTGTCCACCTGGAGTGGAACAGGGCACTGCTGATCCACCAGAGGCCAGGAAGGTCTGGGGCCCAGGGCAGTGCGATGGGAAAGGACCCTCTGTACTGGATGCTCTGTGGGGGGCCTGGCCCTTGAAGGGGAGGCTGGGCAGAGGTGTGGGATGAGGACATGGAGAGGGTCACGGGGTCAGGGCCCACCTTGCGGATGTTGTAGAAATCTCGGTGTGGCACTTTCTTCTGGGCGGCCAGTTCCTTCATCTCATTGAGTAGCACGTGCATCTGGAACTTGGAGCTCAGGTACTGCAGCCGGCGGTAGCAGAATGACTTTCTGGGCATGAGGAGAACAAGGCAGGGACTTAGGCCCTGAAGGGAGGCACCTGGGGAGGGCTCGGGTAGCAGATCAGAGGGAGCACATGGGAGGGTAAGGATGGAGGCTGCCAAGAGGCCAGTAGACTGCAGGCAAGTCGAGGGCTCAGCAACTAGGAAAGGCAAGACACCAGGTGATGGGAGTCTGGGGCAGAACTGGGGCTGGAGAATCTGGGCTAGGAGGCAAGCTAAGTGTCTGGGATGGCAGGGGACTCACATGGGGCCATTGATAATCAGGGCCATCAGCACATTGACGTCAGCCACAAATTCCTGCAGGTCAGGGTATGGCAGCTCCACCTCTGAGCAACTGGCATGGAGGGGAGCTTGGGTGAGGAGAGCAAGCTGAGCCCTGTGGCCTCTCCCAAGCCAATGCAACCTCCCACGCTGCATCCCCCCAACACGCACCACACCCCTCTTACTGCTCGTCAGGTTCCCTTCGGGTGTAGACGTGCACCACACCCCGCACCATGCGCAGACCCAAGCCCAGGTCCCCAGGCATGGTGCTTGGCTCACAGTGCTCGTACGGGTGCTGCTCCAGTGCAGGGGGGTGCACCGGGGCATCTGCAGGGGTGAGGAGGGTAAAGTCAGAGCAGGGCTCTTCCAAGCCACCCACTGCCCAACCCAAAGTCCCCACAGAGGGCAAGAGATGTTGAAGACCCAGTAGGTCAGACAGCTCCTGCCCAACCTCCACCCCTGCACACCACGAGGTTGGAATGAGGCTGGGTGTAGGGAGAGGTAGGCAGGGCAGAGGTGCCCAGGCACTAGGCTGAGGAAGCCCAGGAGGTTAGGGCACATGGGGTGGGGCAGAGATGGGGGGTCCCACCAGCAGACACAGGGGTGTCGGGGCCCTGCTCATAGGTCCGGGTCTCCAGAGGCTTTTCAGCCAGCTGCTGCAGGTAGCGGCGGGTGGTGGGGCAGAAGCTCTGCAGGGACAGGGCCATGTACTTCTCCCGGATGAAGAGCGCCCGCACCACACTCTTGGCAGCATCCAGCAGGTCTGTGAATGGCACCTGAAGATGAGGACATGCAATCACCATCCTCAGTCTCGGACTCAGAGACCTCCTCCCTGAGGCTTTATCTCAGACCCCAAACTATCTGCACCTCCCACAGGCCCTGGCCCCCAGGAATACTCAGATCACCCTGGTCCAGCACATCAAGTGGCTCCCAGCCAGCCCCTCTGCCCCTCCAGCTGCTGGAAAGAGAAACACCCTCTCCAGCCTCCACCCCCAGGTCTCCAGGTTGGGGGAACCCACTAAGACATAGGTGATGGAGATTCAAGGCCCTGCCCCACGTGTACCCCATACTCACCCCACACTTCTCCTCCCCGGAGATGGTGACCCGCTGAAACTCCCGTTCCAGCACATCACGCTCCCGCAGGCTCCGGTCACCCTGCCCCTCACCCTGTTCCTTGTAGAGCCTGCAGGGGGTGCATTCAAGGGAGGGGTTTGGAGCCGGCAGAAGGGCAGACTCCAGCTCCGCATCCCCTGTGCCCCTCTGCCCTCCTCACTGTAGGTCCGAGTCACTGTCTGTCTTCAGGAAATCTTGCTTGGCCCGAAGCAGGATGTCCGGCTCCAGCCTAGAGGCAAGAGGGGTGAGAGGTCAGGCAGATCACGAGGGACGGCCCTTGCTCCCAGGTCTCAGCACCACACTAGGTGCTGTGCACATGTTGTCACATGTGATCCTCAAAGGCAGAGCTGCAGAACCCTGTGCTGTTCTCACTCACTTTAGAGATGAGAAAGCAGACCCGTAAGTTAAGCAACATGGCCCAGCCACACCGGCGGCTAGAAGACAGAACAGAACCCAGCAGCCCGACTCCAAAGCCCACTCTAGGCTCCCTGTGCAGCCCCCCAAGGGAGGGCGCGAGGGAAAGAGGCAGAGAAGGGGCTCTGAAAGGGTCTGGACGGGTATGGAGGGAGACTAAGCAGCTGCCTGCTGGGCTCACTTGACATCCTGGCTGATCTGCCGCTCCAGCCGCTGCCGCCGCTCCTCCAGCTGTTCAATGGGGCTCTCCTCGGGGAACTCATACGGGGCACTACGGAGCTCACTCTCGGCCAGCGAGCGGGTAAACAGCTCCTGGGGGGAGGGAAGGAAGGTCAGCATGGCTGGCCCTCCGCCCTCGGGCACTCTCCTACACAGTCTAAGGGTGGGGTGAGGGCAGCAGGACCAGGGGTACCTGGGAGAGGCTGAGGATCAGGAGACAGCCAAGCGTGAGGTGAGGGGACAGCTGAGGTGAGGGGTGTGGGGAGCAGAGGCAGGGCATGGAGACACAGGGTGAGGGTGCGGGTGGTGCCAGGTGATACCTCGGCGATCTCCTTGCATTTGCCATCCATAGACGTGCGCAGGTCGAGCGGGAAGTGCTTGAGGCAGGGGGCGGGGCCCGGCAGGGATCGGGCAGACTGCAGCGGAGGGGCCCCCAGACCACCCCGAGCCTCTGCAGAGACAGTGATGCCAGGGTCAAAGGGTGGAGGGGCAGCCCCTGATAGCCCTGGGCCCCTGCCCTGACTAGGCCAGCTCCCAAGAGAGCCCAGGGTGGGGAAAGAGGGCAGTCTCTCCTCAGTAGCTGAGGAGTAGGCCTGTGTGTGGCTCCCAAAGGGCTCACCCTCACCTCTAACACAAGGACCCCTCACCATTTCAGGCTCGGGGTGGGGATTCTGAGTCTGCCCCTGGAACAAGTAGATTCATTACCTCCACAAATGAGAACCGAATCCCAGACTAGAGCCTGCTCCCTCAGGCCATGAGAATCTCCACATGACTACCTCCCAGAGGCAGGTGCACGTGTACATGTGCGCACACATGCACGTACGCACAGACACCCGCAGAGACACACACCAGGCGCTTGGTAAGGACCAGGCGGCCACACCAGGGACCCCCAGCTTGCAGCTCCCAGGGCAGGCAACCCAGGATCAGACCCGCCCCTGGACTAGCAGATTCTCCAGTCAAAGGGGCAGGGCCCTGCGCCTGACATCCTGGACCTGTGCAGCACAAGAAAAGCCACAGCTGCTGCTCAGCTCTGACCTGGGGACCAGCCCTCAAGGGAAGAGGAGAGGAAGTGGAAGGCCTGGTTGGCAGGGGAACCCTACCTCCTCCCTGGAGGCCTGCCCTCTCCCCCAGGGCCCCACGGCTGCCAAAATGTGGCCTGGCCTGCCCCTCTAAAAGGAGCTGCCACAAACGGTCTATGTCACTCAGGCTCCAGGATCTGGGCTGCGGGCACCACAGAGGGCCCTGGGGAATGGAGTGTCAGAAGCCAGGGGTCTTTCTCCATCAAGACTAGACTTTTCATCTGTGCCACCCGGAGGATGGCACCAGAGGGCCGTAAAGCCGCCGATCTATGGGGGCTGCCAAGGCTTCCAGCCTACCCCGAAGGACCCTCCCTGGGCTCAGCAGCCCCAGCTCCTCAGTGGGAAGCTTTCCACACCCAAACTGCCTCTCTCAGCCGGCTGTAAGGAGTGCTCCCATCCAGCACCCTCCACCCTGGCTTAGGGAAGGATTACAGGATCTGCCTGGGTAACCGGCCTTAAAGTCTCTGCACCCATTTCCCAATACTCCAGGACTGGTCCCAAAGCTGGACGAAGGGAAGAGGGAGGGGCCTTCCCCAGATCCAAGACCCCGTCCCCTGCACACCCTGGGCCCTGCCTGAACCCTACCTGCAGAGTGCAGGCAGCTCCAGCCAGCAGCCCTGTGCCCCTTGCCCGCCTGTTTGCCAGTGAAGCTGCAGCCAGTCCCTCAGGGGCTGGCACAGGCTGTACCAAGTGCAGCTGCAAGCAGGGGAGACCCTGAGATGGCCGTGAGCACAGAGCTAGGGGAGTTCAAGGGAGCCCAGAAAACAAGGAAAGGGGCATCAGAGTTGGGAGATAAGATGAGCTCCAGAACTGAAGAGGGCCTCTACAGTGCCAGGGAGGACCCAGCCAGATGTGAGGCTCCTAAGGGGGAGTAGCAGGGTAGGCTGATTTGGGCAGGGCAGGCCGGCAGGGAGGAGCCAAGCCTCCTTAAAATCCACTGCCCTAGGGGACAGTCAGTGGACAGGGCCTGGCTGGCCAAAGAGTAAGAGGGGAGAAAAAGGAAGGGAACAGCTCTCCTCATCTCCACACCCACAGCCCCAGGGCAGCCTCCCCTGGCAGTGGCCTTGGTGCTCACCACTGTCCTCTGGGCCCTGACTATGGGGTCCCTTAGGAGAGACAGGGCCTTTGCTGGGGAAGAAGCTAACTGGCAGCTGAGGAACTGGCCCAGTCTAGGTAGGGGCCAGTCACTGAGGCTTCCCCGCTGCCCAGCTGCTCAGGGGGCTGGTTCACAGGCCCCTAGACTTGCAATCCCTGATCCAAGCCTATCATCAGGGACGGGACAAACTGTCCAGAATAAGTTTGGGAGAAAGGGAGCTAGAATTTGGAGGACATGGGTCTGATTCTGTTCCTGCTTCCAGGCATGTCTCTACCTACCATGGAAGGCTGTGGGTCCTCATCTACAAGTGGGGCGGTAAGTGCTCCCTTCCCTGCCTAGCCACAACTGCCATAAGGCTCACAGAGATAATGGCTCTGCAAGTGTTCTGCAAAACACCAGGCTCTGTGTTGAGGCGAGGCCTGCAATTATGAACTCCTGGGACCTTCAAAATACATCCTACTTGTAGCCCTGCCCACTGAGGACAGTGGGAGGTTCTCTGGGCCCAGTGCAGGGTGAAGGCAATAGGCCAGTAAAGGGCAGTGAAGTGAACTTGGCAGGGGTGGAGATGGGGTGACTCTATCTCTTTCTTGGACAAGGACAAAGTAGAAAGAGGAAGAAAAGAGGGGAACCTGCCTCACCCCCAGAGTGTAAGACCTTTTCTTGCCCAAGAACCCTGATTCTACACACCTCCTCCCTACATATGGCCCCAGACCACTTCTAACTCCATCTAGGGGAGGCCGACCACAGACCTCCATGGCTAGTTCATATTGGGTTAGCAGGAGTTGAGTCAAAGGCCCAAATCTCAACCCCCTCTCCTAGCACAGGGGTCTGGGGCTCCACAGCAGTCATGGGGTGAGCAGGACAGATTCCAACAGCCAACGCCATCCCCCCAGCCTGCCAGGCCACTCTCCAGGGCTGCCACAGGCTCACTGAAGGTGACACACAGGCAGTAAGTAACCTCTACGTTCTCAGAGGCCAGGCCTAGAAGACTCAGCTGCCTACTGGTCCTTTCTCTAGCGGCCAGCACCACACACATACACCCACACTTACAGAGAAGTCAAGCAAAAGCCAGAGTGGGCCGCTCCAGAGCCACTCCCACCAACTCTGAGATTCTGAGCACCCCATCTCCCCTCTCGACCAGGAGCCCCTCACACACTGCCAGGACTGCCTCAGTAGGCACAGGGGTGTCCACGGCTTTGACCCCACAAGTGTCAGATGCTCTTACCATCTGACCACTGAAGGGTATCCAGTTCTGGGCTAGATCCGTATCAGTTGCCCTATTGCTGAACCAAACCGGGCCAGGGAGGGCCCCACCCAGGGGACACCCTTTCTGGATGGCACAGACCTGGGCACAGAGAACACCCTCAGGGCAGTACAGACCTAGCACTAGGCATCTTCAATGAAACAAGAAAATATAGGAGGTTGATAGTAGGGCTATGGCTACAGACAGTTGCAAGGGTGGGGGGCAGTCAGCATGATCTGGTCATCAAAGTCAGGGTGGGTCTTTCCTTAGCCACAAGGCCTGGGAGCAGACAGCAGGCAGACAACCCTCTGCAAGCACAGAGCCAGGCAGCCAAGCCCTCACTGAGACAGGCACTGCCGCACCTCGCTGCCTGCTCCAAATGATGCAGAGATGCTTACTAGAGTGAGAGACGAACCAAAGGGTGCAGGAGCACACGCAGTGCGGGCAGCAGCCCCAGTCTGAAGCCTGCACGGACCTGACCAAGGACGCCCCATACTCCTAAGGAGGCTCATGACATAGACAAGGAACGAGCAAATAGCAAACGATAAATACAGTCAAGCCCCCAGTTGTGGGATGCCAGCCAACAATGGTTGTGCCCAGATGTCAGACCCCCAGTGAGGGGGATCTAGATGTGGGGTCCTAAAAAGTGGAACTAGTCACAGAACAGCCTGAGCCTGCCTGGTAAAGGCACAGGCACCAGTCAGAGTGGCCAGTCCACAAAACAGTCCCACACACCCCCACTCCATTCACACATGCTCCACATGCAGTCTTAGCACATGCACACGCTGACACGTGTGCACACACACCTCTTGCTGCACCCACACCATGCCCACTCCTTGTGACAGAGGACAGCATCCCTGGCACAGATATCTCAGATCCACCCCCACCCCCGGCCACCCCTCACCCCACCTTCCAAGCCGGCTGTCCCTGGGATTGAGGTTAAGAGGCACCACCACAGAGAGGATGCCAGAGGAGGTGGCCTCCTCTGAGGGGACCAGCAGCTTGGGCGAGAGGTGGCAAGACAGAGCCCAGCATCTATCCTGAGGCCAGGAAGCACACACTCACCTGGAGCTGCAGTGGAGGCCTGCAGGCTGGCCCGCTTCTTAAAGGGATATTTGGCCTTGGGCTTGCCAGAGCCAGATGGATAGGATGCCATGGCTGGGACCACGGCGGCGACAGCGGGGGAGTCTGAGCGGCACCGGCTGGGGCCTGGCTCTGCCACATCCAACCCCTTCCTCCGCCCCGCCCCCAGCGGGAGTGACTGATGCAGGAAGCAGCGGCTCCGCAGGCGGAAGAGGCCCCGGCCACGATTTCTCATGTTGTCTAGGCAACCTCGGGGAGTGGGGCCTCCATCTCTGCCCCCTATCCCTCCCCTCCCTCCTCAGTCCCAGGAGTGACGTGACTGATGGTGGCTGGGCTTGGCGGGGGGCGGGGGAGGGAGTGGGTAGAAAAGAAGATGGGGAAGGGCCAGCCCCCAGCTCTCCACTAACCCACCAAGAGCCCTCAGCCCATTATGCCAGGGCTCCAGGGCAAAGAAGCCAAAGTCCAGGCTAGCTGGTCCTTCCAGCTAGTCTGGAAGAAAAAAGAATAACAAATAGGAATTCAGCAGCGAGTGAGTCCAAGCTCAAACACAGTCCTGCCGGGGCAGGGCTGGCATACTCCGTGAAAACCCAGCACCCACTTTCCTTCCACATCTGACCCTCAGCTCCGGGGGTAGCTCAGCTCTGGGAGGAGGGGGAAGAACCGAGAATCCCAGCCCAGGAGGGAGGGGCCTGTCTTGGGAAAATTCCACCGTCGCCAAATAGCTACCTCCTAGGAAGGCAGGAAGGCCAGGAGACTCCCTTGTCTGGGGGTCTGGGACAGAGACCCTAGCCTCTTCGGATTTTTCCTCTGGCTCTGCACACTCTGGCTCTGCTCCCCAGGCCCTCGTAGGAAGAGCTGACCGCCTTCCCTACGTCCTGCTGCTGTGCTGTGACTCCCACCCTCTTGTCACCCTGGCCACAGCACTTCTCTGTCCCAGAGACCCTCCCTCCAACACACGTACACACACTCACCTGAAGCCATGCTGTCCGAGTTCCGAGGGGAGGCTGCCCACGAGGGTCTGCACAGCAGAAAGCCCGGGTCCTGAGAGAGGGCAGGGTGGTCGGGCCCCAGACTCCGGCCAAGTCACTCCAAGGGCCCCTGCCCTGGCACTGAGATGGGGAAAGTAAGGCAGTCTTTCAAAATTGCCAGCTGGCCGGAGGTGGACTCCCGCAGATCTCAGCAGCCAGACTGGCCTCAAGGCGACCCCGGTGTCGCGACCACCCAACCCCGCAATCGCAATCGAGAGACGGGTAGGCCACGTGCTCCCGAGGGAGCGGGACCCGGAACTCGTCCAGGTTTCTCTCAACACTCCCTGGGCATTCAGGGTCGGACTCCCGCGGCCGGACTGTGGGGGAGTCACGCAACAGGTGCGACCCCACGAAAATCTCGCCGGCTCCGCGCCAGGCTCTGCGGCCCTTGGCCCCGCCCCCGCCTGGCCCCGCCTCCGCCTGCCGACCCCGCCTCGCCATTTTTTTCTCTTCCTGGGCGCCACGTGGGCAGCCGCCACACCGTGGTAGGGCTGGCCTGAGCTGACCCTTGATCTTGGGCCAGTTTCGTGCGTCAGCTTCCTCATCCGTAAGATGGGGTAATGACAGTACCTCACTCAAAGGGGTTACTGTGAAGATTAAACGTAAAGTCCCTTTACACAGCGCCTGGCACGAAGTCAGGGCCCAATGAAAGGTAGCTGTTGTTATCGTCCCAGGATTCATTTTAAGCAGAAGTCCTGCCCCTGCAATCTCACCTGGTCGTCTGTTTTCTTCCGGCCGGCATAGGTAGGAGGCTGTGCCCTGCAATTCTGGCTCCCCTTCCCACATTTCTGTATTTGGTGGTTAAGAGCTTTAACTCTAGCCAGAATGTCTGCGTTCAAATCCAGATTTCACCTATTTCCTGACTGATACTGGGCAAGTTACCTAACTTCTCTGTGCTTCTGTTTCTTCCGTAAAATGAGTGTAAGAGTACCTGCTTTATATGGTGGTTAAGATGAATGAGTTAATATAAGTTAACTGCTTAGAACTGTGCCTGGCCTGTAGTTAGCACTTTTTTATTATTACCATTGCTTTAGCCTTGGCCTTGGTTCTCTATTGACACTCACAGGTTGATTCACTTACAGCCGTTCTGGGGTCTGCAGACATCCTATCCAACAAGCATCCCCACTGCCAAGGGGTAGAAAATCCGACCTAAAGGGAACTTGTGGAGGGAAGTCCCTAAGACTTCACTGAATATAATTAAATGCATTAGCAGGAATTAATCTCTTCCCTATTTTCCCTCTTGTGGGAGGCCTTTGCCCCCCAAACCCAGTTGTTCTAATGCTGTTTGTCTGGCTCCTCCCAATTCTCACCACCCCTACAGCAGAGTTCCTTCCCAAACTCTGCCTGCCTCTTCTCTCCCCACGCTGGATTCTGGACTTTGAACCCTGTGCTCCACCTGCATCTGGTGCCACTTCCATTGATCCCTGTCTACTGTTCCCTGAACAAACTTAAAAAAACTTGGCCTCTTCACCTCACACAGAATCCATAAAACTAAAAAGCGAACAGAGATAACCAGGTTTACCTATCAAAATAGCAAAGACTAAAAAACAAAAAAACAAACACTAATGCAGGTGGCAAGGGTATAGTTAGTGAGATGGGAGACACACACACACGTACGTGTGCACACACATTACTGGTGGCCTTGAACACTGATATAATCTCTCTGAAAGCCATCTGGTAATATATAATCAAAAGTTTCAAAAAGGTTCTTATTATTTGACCCAGTAATCAATTTTCTGGAGTTTTTCTAAAAAGAGCTGCCAGAAAAATATGTATGCAAAAAGTTGCTCAGCACCACAATGTGTATTGCGTAGGAAAGTTAGACACTTTAAAGGCCCAACAGTAGGGGAATGTTTATGGAAGATTCATACCATGAAATACAGCCATTAAAAATTGTTCTTGGAGAAATGTTTAATGATGTGGAGATGTTTACAATATAAAGTTAGGTAAAAGAATGGATGCAAAACACTATATACAGAATGGTCCTACTTATGTGATATACATGGGTAGAAAAGAAACACACCAACAAGTTTACCAATGATTATCTGTAGTGGTGGAATTATGGGTTATATTTTATTTATTTGCATTTTGAAAATTATAATACATACCCATAACTTTTATAATCAAGGGACTAGAAATCAACAAAAATCGGTAAAAATCCATAATTGACTCCACAGTCCCCCCAACCCAGACTTCCCTGGGTCTTAACCCCAGACTTAAACTATTCTGTTTACATTTATGGCCCACTGAATTGGTCTTGGGGCCCTTAGGGATTTTGAGGCTGATGGACTCTCAAGAATGAATAAAATGAATCTCAAAAATCAAGCACCATGTAACTACATAGAATGTCATGTATCTTCTGATGAGATGCAAATGTTGACATAGTTTTAAAGATAGTATCTTGCATTGGGCCAGGCCTCTTGAGCCTCCTGCTTAATGCAGACCTACCTACCTCAGCAGCCAATAGGTGGCAATCCTTGCCCTCCACCCAGCCCAGGCAAACCAGTTCATTAGTCCCTTTATGCTAGTCCCCTAGTCCGATCTGCAACACACCCCTCACTCTACAACCCTCCCCTATTTCCAGGTCATCTGGTGTATTGTCGCTGCTAGGAAGTCGGCCCTGATTACAGTTAAGCATCAGTCCCTCCACCCACTCAATACCAGCAAGAATCACAGTGAGGTTTCATTGTCTATGCAGAATAGAGCTTGGGAAATAAAGGCCTGAGTCATCCTATGGCCTGGGCTTTTTTCACACTGAGGCCTTAACATTGCTTTTGAGCCTCTGGGATCTTCCCTAGCTCCAAACACAGCTTCCTCCCCTCCTAGCCTGTTCCCCACATGGCTCCTTAACTGACCCTCCTGGAATCCCAGCTCCCTAACGATGGTGCACTCCTGTTTCTCTGAAGAACTGCTTTTCTTTACTTCTGGACTTCAGCTCACTGTGATGTCAGCCTCCCTAGCTAGGCCAGAACAATCTTCACAGATACTAAACTTGGGAGAGAATATCTGCATCTCCAAAAAGGTCCTTGGCCAGGGCAATTTCCCAAACCATACCTTATGCCTAGGCCCTTCTAGAAACAAGCTGTTCAGCTCTGCTTTCTTAGCTTCTCCTAGCAGCCAGCTCCCTCTACCCCCCACCTCAGTCACCCAGCATTGTGTTTATAGCACCATGCAGCTGTTTCCATCTGTACTTGTTTATAAGACCCCAGTGGATTTTAGCCAAACCCCTTGCCATTGAAGGCGCTTCACTGGCTGGCTCCAATTTCCCTTTCTTGTCCTTATCTTCACCTCCCAGCCCTCCACTCCATGCACCTTTCACTCCAGTCCAGTCACATCAAAGTCCAGGTCTTCTCTGAGCACACCTTGTACCTTGTACCTCTACCTGTTTTTTCATGCTCTTTCCTTTCCCCAAAACACTAATCTCCCATTTCCACTGTTGTTCTGCTTCTCTGTGGAAAGTCTGTTCATTTCACAATCACCCTTTTCTTTCTTCTGCCATAGAACTTGTCAGACAGTCAGCTGTGTGTTTAATTGCCTTTCCTACCGGGGGTGAATGCTAGGTCTTAAACAGCTCTGAATTTCCCAGCACTACTGCAGTATCCCTTTCACTAATTTGTTTCTCTGTGAATTTCCCCCACCTCTGCCTATGGACTGGAAGGTCCTGAAGGTAGTTCTCATCCTTCATATCCTCCCACTCCATCTGGGACAAGTCTTTACCCACAGTTCACTTAAGACAAGGCTTACCACGGATGTCAGACAGATCCCTTAACTCAGGAAACATGCCCAAATCACTGAGAAACAGTGATTTACTTTTCATCCAAGATGATACGGTTATAAAGGGCTGTGAATCAAAACAACTGAGCTCTGGCTTGGCTTCTGATACTACCTTGCTTATTAATGTGAGGATCACTTTTCTGTACTTCAGTTCACTCACCTCAAAAATGGAAATAGCACTACATACCTTACTTACTTCATCAGGAAACTGTCCCTAAATGTGATCATAAAGTGGAACAGCTACAACAAAGGCACAGAGTTGACAACAGAGGCAGAGGCAGGAGGTCACAGGCATCAGGATGATGTATGCACAGTAATGGATCTGTGTTCTCAGACCAGGCGAGGGCTAGCAGTTCCCTCTCTCAGCTTTCCAGTGAGAATGGGGAACTTCCACCCAGTAGGTTAGGGAACAAAGCAGAAGCAGCACAGAAGTTTGCAGAGGTAGCAGTAGAAAAAGGAACGAGCCCACTTTCCCTGTGTGTGAAACAAGTTAGTGGTTCCTTTAACAAGGGCTGCTGTTATCGAGTTGATGCATTTGCCCATGCTTTCTCTCTCTGGCTACTTATGTGGGAGTAATAGAAAGAAGGATCACTGGTTTGTCTGTTCACTAGGACATATAACTTCGTTTTTTTGTTTTTGAAACAGAGTCTCACTCTGTCGCCCAGGCTGGAGTGCAGTGGTGCAATCTCGGCTCACTGCAACCTCCGCCTCCCGGGTTCAAGCGATTCTCGTGCCTCTATCTCCCAAGCAGCTGGATGTATGCCACCATGCTGGGCTTTTTTTTTTTTTTTTTTTGAGACAGAATCTTGTTCTGTCATCCAGGCTGGAGTGCAGCGCCTCCTGGGTTCAAGTGATTCTCCTGCCTCA